CCCCAAAACCCCAAAACCCCAAAACCCCAAAACCCCAAAATTTAGATAATATATTGAAATTTATACCGCTTTATCAAAATCTACATGAACTGGAAGGTCTCCTTTGTCTTATTGTAAATGATCTTCTTATATTCATTAGTTCCAACTAATCTCTCCATTTTAAGGTCGTCAAATCTGCTAAAGAGGCCAAATATTACACTTTCGCCAAATACAAGTTTATTTTCCTCAGCTTCTGTGGGCTCAGGAGTTTCTTCGCCTGTATTTTCTCTTCGCTTTCTCCTATGGTTCATTCTATTCTTGAGAATAAACTTGGCTTTCTTCTCCTCGTTAAGGTTGATCAGCTCCTCAAAAACTCTATGGGACTCAGGCAATGAGTAAAATATGAGGTTTCTGGCATACCTGAGCTTGACTATCTGGAAGTACAGAGCTCTTTCTGAGATGAGTAAGAACTTCTTCCTCCCTGTTTCATAGTACGATCTATTCCTGTTGCAATCCCTAGGCTCACTGTATTCGCTGATGTAGGCCACACTTGCGTTCTTGTCCCTAAGGAAGTTCCTAAGACGTACAAATTCGAAGTATGAGTTGGCCACGAGGATGGAGTATTCTCCTAAGTTTTCATACAGCTTTTGCCACAACTTCTTGGTGAAGAAGGTGAACCTGGTCTCATCGACTAATTCTAAAGAGTCTGTGTTCAGCTTCCTCATAGTGATCCTCGTGTTCTTAGCAAGAGAGAGCTCTCTCAATAGGTTATTTGGGTAAAATTTGTTAACCTCTACATGCCCAGTGTAATTAACTGATAGATAAGATCTTGCTAAGCAATCCAAGTCCATACTTCTGAAGTTATGAATCATTACAGATTGTCTGAAATTATGCCCAATCTTTTCAAGGTAAATCTCCTGAATTCTGTTAATGTCATTCAAAATGTCCAAGGATTTAGGCACTTTGTTCGTACTTTTGAGCACCTCTTCCAAGTGATCAACGTTTTGGTACAAAAATGTTTCTGCTTGATCAAGAATAACTATTTGGACACTAGAAAGGAAGTCATATTCTCTCCTGTTCTCTTGCTCTCCCTCTTGGCCAGTGATGAGTCTGAGACCGAGAGGGGATGCGACGATAATATCTGAGTCGATGAGGTTCTCATATAGCTTTATCTGCTCATTTTTGATAAAGCTAATACCAACTTTGAAGCAATCGTTGACTGCTTCTTCAGTGTTGAGGTCAAACTCCTGCTTAAATCTCTTCTTTTTGATAACCTTCTTCCATGAGCTATAATTAAACTGAGTGATGATTTCATTGATGATGTAATATGCCATCTTCTTGTAACCTGTGAGGATTAAGACTTTTGGACGAGTAAACCCTTGATCCTTCTCCTCTTCACCTACAAACTTAGCCTCAGGGGTTGGTATGATATAAGGAGAATCTAATTTGGCATCTTCAGGTTGAAGGTCTGCTTCAGGCTCTTTTTCGTTATCGCTATCGCTCTCGTCATCAAGCTCAGCTTCGATCATCTTCTTGAGTTTAAATTCCTCATCATTCTCTTCTTTATCTATAGAAAATTAGATTCTGATGTACCTTTCAGGTCGTTTTTAAATTTGAGTTCGTTTTGTCTAAGGATTGTGTTCAAGCAATGGAAAATGTAGCTCGATCTCAGCATCTTCAGTTCATTATCTCCAGTGTATTCATAGCTCATGTCATGCCAACTGTTTAGAATGGAAATAGTCTCTAGATACTTCTTCCTTTTATAGTCATTGTCTTGGATTTCAGAGGCGAGGTTTACCCTGTTTAGCACCGATCTTACTGCTAGTCTGGGGTGAACGAGGAACTCTGAGAGTTTAGTTGGGAAAGCTTACTCTGACTCATCTGTCTTTGATACATTCTTTGAGTCAATCCATCTTGGAGATATCTCATTCTGATAATTGGCTGAGATCCTGTGGAGAACTTACTGATTCTGTGCTTCTTCTTTTTCATTGATTTAACATTTTCATAGCTTTCTTTATCAAATTGAAGCATGAGGAAATCTGTAGGCTCCTGAGAATACTTGTAAGGTTTATACTAAAGTTGTTAGTCCCTTCTAACTCACTTCTTTAGGCTTGTTGACCTCTTCGACCTTCTTTGTCTCTTCTTTCTCCTCTCTTTTTACTAAAAATATTATAAAAATTATCTTACAGCCAGCAGCAGCGAGTAGAGATTCTTTAGGGTTAGAAATGCTATCTATTTCCTTGTTGATATCAACATCAGCCTCAGTGTCTTCCTGCTTTTGAGTCCTAGTCCTTCTTCTTTTGCCCATATTTTGTAATATATTTTATCGTGTTTGGGGTTTTGGGGTTTTGGGGTTTTGGGGTTTTGGGG